GGAGTGCGCACAGCGGCAAGGGCAGGCGTAAATTGACCCACCCGCCTGCCATTGCGGAGCGGCCCACAAAATTAGTAGAGCTGCCCAGAGTCCCTGGAGGAGAGACCGGACACAGGATTAACCAGAGAGTCCTGGAGCTGACTTCCTCACATTTCCGTAGTCCCCATTTTGCGAGGGCAAGCAACGCACCCAAAGAGCCAAACGCGGGAAAAATACACAATAGAAGACCCTAACCTGACCAGTGCCGCAGAGCTCTCCGGCCAGGGGGGCCAGATGAGTACACGAGGTCGCGAATAAGCCCCCTGATCTGGGGCAAGCACATGTGAACCCAGGCAGGTGGGGGATCCTGCCGCGTGGGAGCCCGCATAAGAGTGCAGAGAGATCTCAAAAAATAGCCCAGCCCTGACCGAAGGGGTCACAGAGCTGCTCCAAGCAGGAGTCAGACACCGACATTAGACTCCTGGAAGGCTCAAACAAAGAACCTAAGGTCCTATAGGGTCAACAACTGACATCATCAGAGGCAGGCCCAGAAAGAAAAGTAAAGGACAAAAATACTTAACAGACTCTCACAAAAATGGGAAGAAAAAGAAGTTCCCCCCAAATGAGTGGAAAAGGAGACTCCCCAGAGAGAGAGCTCAATGAAATAGAGGCAAGGGAACTATCAGATACTGAATTCAAAACAACGGTTCTAAGGAAGCTCCATGAGCTCAGCCAGCTCAAAGAGAACTATGAGAAACGGCAGAGAAACTATCAGGATCTTACAGCAAATTATATCAGCCTGGAAAAGGACATAGAAACTATCAAGAAGACACAAGAGGATATGAAGAATACCACTTCTGAATTGAAGAACACAGTAGAAGGAATCCAAAGCAGGCTGGATGAAGCCGAGGATCGAATCAGTGAGATGGAGGACAAGGTAGAAAGAAGCTCCCAGAAAGAACAAGAAATGGAAAAACGGCTCAAAAAGAATGAAGAAGCATTTAGGGAAATGCAGGACAACCTGAAACACAATAATATCCATATACTAGGGATACCAGAAGGAGAAAAAGAGGAGCAAGGGATAGAGAATGTCCTCAAAAAAGTAATAATGGAAAATTTCCCTAATGTGAGGAAAGAAAGGCTCTCATGGATCCAGGAGGCACAGAGGACCCCACTCAAGAAGGACTCAAAGAGGTCCACTCCAAGACACATCATCATTAAAATGGCAAATGTCAAAGACAAAGAGAAAATATTCAAGGCAGCAAGGGAGGAGAAAGTAACATACAAGGGGGCCCCGATACGCCTAGGAGCTGACTTCTCAACAGAAACACTACAAGCCAGAAGGGAATGGGAACAAATATTCCAAGCCATGAAAAGCAAGGGCCTACAGCCAAGGCTGCTCTACCCAGCAAGTATCTCAATTAAAATAGAAGGGGAAATAAGGAGTTTTCCAGACAAGAGAAGACTAAAAGAATACATCTCTACCAAACCAACACTCCAAGATATGCTAAGGGGACTGGTTTAAGCAGATGAAGGAAAAGAATGAGACAGAGAGGACCACAGGTACAAAGAGAAAAGATGAGTAAGTTCCTATCAGTAATATCTCTCAAAGTGAATGGACTAAATGCCCCAATCAAAAGACACAGGGTAGCTGAATGGATAAGAAAACATGACCCACACATATGCTGCCTACAAGAGACCCACCTCAGAGCAAGAAACCTACACAGATTGAAAGTAAAGGGATGGAAAATAATATTCCAGGCAAATGGACATGAGAAAAAGGCTGGGGGTGTCATACTTGTATCAGACAAAGTAGATTTCAAAACAAAGGCCATAAAGAGAGACCCAGAGGGGCACTTTATAATACCTAAAGGAAGAATCTATCAAGAAGACATCAACATTGTAAACTTATATGCTCCCAATATAGGAGCCCCCGAGTTTATAAGGAAATTGTTGGAGGACTTCAAAAAAGATATAGACAGCAACACACTGATAGTAGGGGATTTCAACACCCCACTATCAAAAATGGACAGATCTTCCAAACAAAACATTAATAAACATATTGTGGCGCTGAATGACACACTGAATCAAAGAGACTTAACTGACATATATAGAACCTGACATCCCAAAGAAGAAAAATACACATTCTTTTCAAATGCTCATGGCAGTTTTTCAAAGATAGACCACATGATAGGACACAAAGCAAGCCTCAGCAAATTCAGGAAAATTGAAAGAATACCAAACTTTTTCTCGGACCATAAGGCCTTGAAACTCAAAATCAACCTCAAAGAGAAAACTTCAAAAACTTGCAAACTCATGGAGACTGAACAATAGACTATTAAAAAATGAATGGGTCAATAATGAGATAAGAGAAGATATCAAAAAATATTGGAAACAAATGAAAATGAACAGACAACAGTCCAAAACGTATGGGACACAGCAAAGGCGGTCCTGAGAGGGAAGTTCATAGCAATAAAGGCTTATCTAAAAAAAGAGAAACATTTCAAATAAAAAACCTAGCACTACAACTTCAAGAACTGGAGAAACAACAACAAATAAATCCCAGAGCAAGTAGAAGGAAAGAAATAGTCAAGATTAGAGCAGAACTGAATGACACAGAGACGAAAAGAACAATTCAGAAGATCAACCAATCCAGTAGCTGGTTCTTTGAAAAGATAAATAAAATTGACAAGCCTTTAAGACGACTCATCAAGAAAAAAAGGGAGAGGACCCAAATTAATGATATCAGAAATAAAAGGGGAGAAATAACAACTGATACCACAGAAATACAAATGATCATCAGAAACTATTATGAACAATTATATGCCAAGAAATTTGAAAATCTTGATGAAATGGACACATTTCTAGAAAAGTATAATCTTCCAACACTGAAGAAGGAAGAAACAGGAAGCTTGAACAGACCGATAACAGCTGGGGAAATTGAAACAGTCTTCAAGAATCTCCCAGCACACAAAAGCCCAGGACCGGACGGTTTCACAAGAGAATTTTACAAAATATTTAAGGAAGAGCTAACGCCTGTCCTTCTCAGACAATTCCAAAAAATCCAAGAGGAGGGAAGACTCCCAGACTCTTTTATGAAGCCAGCATCACCCTGATCCCAAAACCAGATAAAGACCCTACAAAGAAAGAAAACTACAGGCCAATTTCGCTGATGAACAGAGATGCTAAAATCCTCAACAAAATATTGACAAACCGCATCCAGCAATACATTCAAAAGATTATCCACCACGATCAAGTGGGATTCATCCCAGGGATGCAGGGATGGTTCAATATACGCAAATCAGTAAACGTGATACATCACATAAATAAAAGAAAAGACAAAAACCACATGATCATCTTGATAGATGCAGAAAAAGTATTCGATAAGGTACAGCACCCATTTATGATCAAAACACTCAGCAAAATGGGAATAAATGGGGCATTCCTCAATGTAATAAAGGCCATATATGAAAAACCTACAGTCAATTGTTACGATCCCCGCAAGTATGAGCTCAGAAATTAGAGTTTGATCACGCACGCTTTATTATTTGGCCAATTTTTACCTGCACAGGGGCCACCTTTCCCTCGAAAGGAAAAAGGCACGCCGCTGTAAGGGTACACGGGTTTTTATAAGCAGAGCAAGCAAGCAGAATACAAGGGCGGGAAGTGGCAGTTAGCGATAGGCTACTTTAGGCAGCTTCTTTTCTACTGATTGGGTTCAAGGCTGATACTGGGCCCCCCTACTCTGTGGTCAGGCTGTTTATCTGAGGCAAGGCTCAACCGTTGTCCTATCTTGTTACTAAGGGGGGGCTCCAATTCTTCCCTTCATCTTGGGGTATTGTTTGTTCTAGTTTGGGTCAACTTGTTCCCCTTAGTCTGCTCATATCCGTGTTGTTCTTGTCCCATCTGCAAGTTGCAGCACCCTGAGGTTGTTTAGTCTTTCAGCTTAGTTCCTAGTTCCTGTTTCTTGTTTCGGCCCAGACTTGACCTAGTTTTAAAGTTTGGCCCCTTCATTCCCCCCTTTTTCTTGTTCATCCTTTGTCAAACCCTTGACTCAGTGTCTTCTGTGGTTAGTAGGGTATAGGGCTGGGACAGTACCATCACTTTCACAACCTCTATACGGTCCCGCACAAATGCTATGAGCTTATTCAATATTATTGGGCCAAACAGCAGGATTAGCAGGAGGATTAGGACCGGCCCAGCTAAGGCCGACACTAGGGTAGTCAGCCAGGGTGAAGCTTTAAACATGGAGGCATACCAGGAGGAATCACCTTCCTCACTATCCCTTTCTTTTAACCTACGAGTCAAAATTTTGATGTTTTCCCTTATCACTCCCGAGTGGTTGGCATAAAAGCAGCATTCTTCTCCTAAAGCAGCACAAAGCCCTCCCTGCTTCAAAAACAGAAGATCTAATCCTCACCTATTTTGGAGGGCTACTTCTGCTAGCGAGTCTACTTGCTTCTCTAGATATATTACCTGCTCTTGTAGTAGGGACACATCCTTAGAGAAAGTTTGTGACAGCTGTCGTAGATTCATTTCTCCCTGCACAAGGGCACCTGCCCCTAGGGCAGCAGAGCCTACTATTCCGATTGTAGCTACGATGGGGACAAGCAGGGGGACCCTCTTAACTCGAGGGGAGGGTTGTGGCAGGAAGTTGGAATCTCCCCCCATATAGATAAACTTGGGGAATGATATAGGCACTAACACAAATATCAGGGTTTATGGGGGCTATGCATTTCATGACTCCTCTTGTACAAGCAAACCATAGCCCTTCCTGAGCCTTTAGAATCTCAGGTTCCTCCTCTTGTATGGGGGTCTGCTTCTGCATATATATATAGCTGGTACAATAATTCTCATATAATGTGGAAGAAAAGTTAGCTAGGACGTAGCATGTCCCGTTTCCATGAAAATCTGCTAATTTTAAAGTGGTCTCTTGGCAAGTACAGTTCCATCCTTCGTCCTTATTAACACCCATTCCCGGAGCTCATACCCGCTCGTTTCCCAATTTAGTCCAATCAATATTAAGAGCGGGTAAAAGAGAGCCGGAGAGGCTTTCCTGGGTCCTGTCGAACTCTCCATGGTTTTTCTTCACTGGGGTTCTGAGCTGGCTTAATGTGGGAGAGGTGTATCCAGTAGGGTTTCTCAGCCACCAGAACGGCAGTCGGGGTGCTTAGCAGTACCTGGAATGGCCCGATCCACCTGTGTTCAAGGCTTCCTCGCCGGTGGTTCAGGATCCATACCCATTGACCGGGGTTCAGTGTCCTTAGTTCGCCAGCACCGCCTCTTTCATTTGCCTCCTTTTCCTCCCTTCGTAGGCTCCGGACTTCTTCTCTGAGGGCCTGCAGTGCCTGTAAGGACTTTAGAAAGTTATGATTAGAGGCCTCCACCTCCTCTCTAGTCAGCTTGGGCACTAGTGGCACAGGCTGCCCGTACATGATTTCATAAGGCGTCCACCCTCCTGTGTACGGGGTACATCGAGCCCTAAATAAGACGAAGGGGAGCAATTCTACCCAGTTCTCCCTGAGCTCCTCCTTTAATTTAATTGTTTCCTTCAAGGTCCGATTCATTCTCTCTACCTGCCCTGAGCTTTGGGGTCTATACACACAGTGCAATTTCCAGGTGATGCCCAATCTCCCGGCTAGATTTTGGGATATTTGGGATACAAAGGCAGGCCCGTTATCTGATCCAATCGCCACGGGAATGCCATATCTGGGAATTATTTCTTGGACTAAGATTTTCCCTACCGTGGCTGCCGTTTCACCCTTTGTGGGGAAGGCCTCCACCCAGCCCGAGAAGGTGTCTACTAGAACTAAGAGGTATTTGTATCCCGATTTCCCTTTTGACATTTCAGTGAAGTCAACCTCCCAGATCTCTCCAGGGGCATTTCCCTTACGCCTGATAAATTGAGGGCATTTTTGATTCTGTGCGTTTACCCTGGCGCATGTCTGGCATCTGGACACTACAGACTCTATAACCTCCCTTAGATTAGGAGCCCTGTAATATTTTAATATTAACTTTTCTAGTTTTCCCCGCCCTAGGTGTGAGCTCGCATGCATTTCTCGGACTACATGGGTTAGCACTCCCTGGGGCAGGTAAAGCCTGTCATCCGGGAGCATCATCCAACCTCCTTTGTCTACCTTTCCCCCTAGCCTCCTCCCTTCTATTTCCTCTCCCTTACTATAGGTAGGCGGGGAAGGTAGCACTGGGGTAGGCACCATGGGGAGTACTCCTGCAGCCTCCTCTCCCGCCGCCTCTTTGGCCGCCAGGTCAGCCAGGGCGTTACCCCTCGCCACGGGGTCACTTCCTCTCTGGTGCCCTCGGCAGTGAATGATGGCTACCTTCTTGGGCATCCACAGTGCATCCAGCAGGTCTAGGATTTCCTGGCGATTCTTGATTTCCTTACCTCCAGCCGTCAGTAGCCCGCGCTCCCGGTAGATGGCCCCATGCACATGGGCTGTTGCAAAAGCATACCTGCTGTCCGTGTAAATGTTGACCGTCCTTCCCTCGGCCATCCGGAGGGCTTGGGTGAGTGCGACCAACTCTGCTCTCTGGGCCGATGTCCCCTTGGGCAGAGCTTGTTTCCACACTACTTCATCCTCTTCAAGGGCTTCCTTCAGGGCCCAAAACGCCTTCTGCCCCTCCTCAGTCCAGGCAAACTCAGTCTCTTTCCCCTTTGTCATGTCGTAGAGGGGCTGAGCAAGCCTGGCGTACCCTAGGATCCAGAGCCTACAGTATCCCACGGCTCCTAGAAATTCTCTCACCTGCCGTTTGGTGGTTGGCTCTGGTATCCATAGGATAGTCTGGACCCTTAGCTCAGATAAGGTTCTTAATCCTCCGCTCAGGTCATACCCCAGGTAGCTTACCTTGGTAGACACGATTTGTGCCTTCTTGGCTGAGACTCTGTATCTCAGCCTCTCGAGCTCCCTCAACAAGTCCTCTGTTGCCTGCTCGCAATCACTGGCGTGGGACGCAGCCATGAGAAGGTCGTCTACGTACTGTAGGAGTACTACCTCGGGGTGTTTTCTCCTGTACTCTTGTAGATCCTGGCTGAGAGCCTCGTTAAAAATGGTAGGGGAATTTTTAAAGCCCTGGGGCAGCCTTGTCCAGGTGTACTGACCTCCCAGGCCATGCTCAGGGTCATTCCATTCAAAGGCAAAAATTTCTTGGCTCTGGGGTGCCAGTGGGATGGAAAAGAATGCATCCTTTAAGTCTAAGACCGAGTAATATTTGTGGGTAGGAGACAAAGCACTCAAAAGCGTATAAGGATTTGGCACTGTGGGATGTATTGTCTCTACCCGGGCATTCACTTCCCTTAAGTCTTGTACAGGGCGGAAATCAGATGTCCCAGGTTTCTGCACAGGCAGCAGGGGAGTATTCCAGGGGGACTGGCGCTTCTTTAGAATTCCAGCGGCCAGTGACCGCAGCAAGTGCTTAGCTATCCCCTCCTTGGCTCTGGCGGGAATCGGATACTGCCTGATTCGCACTGGGGTGGCTGTACTCAATAACTGGACTACTACTGGCGCCTGATGTACTGCCAGTCCTGGGGGGTTGGTCTCTGCCCATACCCCAGGTATCTTTTCCCAGAGTGCCTGGGGAACTCCAGTGGAATGAGGCTCGGCCTCACTCACAGCTAGCAGGTACTCTTCCAACAGGGGAACAGTAACTTCTAATCTGGGGTCCCCCTTCTCTTCCTTGGGTGTCTTGAACACTATGGAGGCTTGCAACTTTTGAAGTAAGTCCCTTCCTAGCAGAGGGTAGGGGCAATCCGGTATAATCAGAAAAGAGTGAGTGATTGTCCCTTTTCCAAGGTCCGTAATTCTCGCACTTGTCCAAGGATAAGTCTCTGATTTCCCGGTGGCTCCTATAATTTTGGCTGTTTCCTTTTCCAGTTTTCCTTGGGGCTGCTTCAGGACAGAACATGTGGCTCCTGTGTCGACTAGGAAATCAACTGGTCTTCCTTCGACTGTCAAGGTGACCATGAGCTCCCGGGAGCCAATGCTTATGGAGCTCTGGCCCCGTCAGTCTAGGGTCTGCAGGAGCACCCCAGGGGTCCCCCTTAGCTCCTCTATCCCCTTCCTCTTGGGGCATTCCCTCTTCCAGTGCCCCTTCTCCTTGCAGATGGCGCACTGATCCTTCTCTAGCCGGGCTCCCCTCCTTTCTCTGTTCCCCCTACCGGGGTTCCCTCTGGGTGCACCTCCTTCCCTCTGCGCCACTATCAGAATTTTTGCTACTTCCCTAGCCTTCCCAACCTCTGGGTCATCCCTGTTGACATATACCTTTTGGGCTATTTCTAGCAGTTTACTGATATTCTCTCCCTCAAATCCCTCTATCTTCTGCAATTTCCTCCTTATGTCCGTGGCTGATTGCGTGACAAAGGCTATGTTTACAAGTCTCCTATTCTCCCTTGCCTCTGGGTCTAATGGGGTATATACCTTGTACGCCTCCATTAATCTTTCCAGGAATGCGCCAGGGGTCTTGTCTCGTCCCTGCACTACCTCACTCACCTTCCCAAAATTTGTGGGCTTGTGGGCTGCCCCCCGCAATCCCCTCAGAAGAGCTCAGCGGTACTGCAGAAGTGCCTCCCTTCCCCCTCCAGTGTTCGGATCCCAATCAGGGGGGATGGAGGGGAGTATTTCCTCCAACTCCCTTCTTCCTCCCGCTGTCCCTTCTTCCTCCCCCATAACCGCCTTCCCTGCTTCCCTCAGGATCCTTTCCCTTTCCTCAGACGTAAACAGGGTCTGCAATATCTGCTGGCAATCATCCCATGTGGGCTGGTGGGTCCGGAATATAGTTTCCAGTAGGGAAATCAAGCCCTGGGGTTTCTCAGAGAATGGGGGGGTTCTGGTGTTTCCAACTGTATAGATCACTCGTGGAAAAGGGGACATAGATTAGCCTAGGAGGCGCCCTAGGGGCGTCCGGGGCCGTGGGCGCCTCTCGGAGCGGTAGCAGGGCCGGCTCTCTAGAGTCCGGAGCGCGCCAGCCTTTCTGTCCCTCACCACTGTAAGAGGTCCCTCCCCGGGTGTGGGGCGGACTAACAATTTCCCCGGATTGCTCGGAGGAATCGGGTGCCGCCAGGGTGGGATACGGCGGTGGGGCATTAACAGGATCTAAGGGGTCCTCGGGCTGGGCTGGCAGGACTGGATACGGTCGGTTTCCTTCAGGTTCCGACGAAGGCTGGGGCTCAGCACCCCCCCTTCCGCTATTTCTTTGGGGGCCTCTCCTCTCTCCCGATCCAACGGCTAGGCACACCGCTCTACCCCTCCTGTTTGTCCCTGCCTGCCCTTGGCTGCACTTCCGGACGTAGCCCGGCCTATCCGTGGCAATATCCGTCCAGACATTGATGTAGATTTGCTGGTCCGGATGAGGCACCACGTAGGTGACTCGTTGGACCGAGAAACAAATTGGCAATTGGAAAGTTCCCTCAGTCGGCCACCCAACATTAAAGGTGGGCCACTCAAGCTGGCAGAACGTTCGGAGGGTCTCCGGGTCGGGAGGATTCCCTCCATAGCGCTCTGCCTGCTTTCTGAAATCAGAGAAGTTTTTCAAGATGCAATCCAAAGGTGAACCCTCGACCGCTCCTGTGGATCCCCCTTGTCCCATGTCTTTACGTATTTGGGTCCAAAGATCGTGACTTATGAGACCGAGGAGGGTCAAGATTAAACACGCGGCCAGGCTCCACACCACTCTCTCACTTACGCCGTTCACTCTTCAGCCGGCCTCACACACGCACATTAAGGAGACGACTCAGACAGACGGGAACGATGAAAGCACTTTCACTTTCGCTCGCCTGGCCTCTCCTCTCGCGAAGGACTTGGGTCTGTCTTAGCTAAGGCTGCCCGAGTAGAATCCGGGTTACCTCCCAGCCGTTATGCCATATGACAGACCGAGGACTCGCAGGTTGGGGCCCACTCAGATTCCGTAGGCTCGCTGTCCCGTGGAGTCACACAGACAGGCACTCACTCACTCACACGGCACTTTCGCATGCGCTCCCGTACCCGTTTCTTCCCACGCTGCGCACCAAAACTGACCTCAGGCGACCCTGTCACGACTCCCGAGGGCGTCCCCTCCTTGGGAGCCCCCTGGGTGGACTGCCGGTGACGTCTCACCTACCACCTCAGGGCTGCATAGGCTAGCCTTTCCTTCCCCTTAAGAGAATTCTCAGTTTAACTCACCCAACTCGAGCTGGTCCTTTTGATTCCCGTTCTTTCACGCCACAAAGGGGGAATCTCGCTGGGGCCTCCAAATGTTACGATCCCCGCAAGTATGAGCTCAGAAATTAGAGTTTGATCACACACGCTTTATTATTTGGCCAATTTTTACCTGCACAGGGGCCACCTTTCCCTCGAAAGGAAAAAGGCACGCTGCTGTAAGGGTACACGGGTTTTTATAAGCAGAGCAAGCAAGCAGGATACAAGGGCGGGAAGTGGCAGTTAGCGATAGGCTACTTTAGGCAGCTTCTTTTCTACTGATTGGGTTCAAGGCTGATACTGGGCCCCCCTACTCTGTGGTCAGGCTGTTTATCTGAGGCAAGGCTCAACCGTTGTCCTATCTTGTTACTAAGGGGGGCTCCAATTCTTCCCTTCATCTTGGGGTATTGTTTGTTCTAGTTTGGGTCAACTTGTTCCCCTTAGTCTGCTCATATCCGTGTTGTTCTTGTCCCATCTGCAAGTTGCAGCACCCTGAGGTTGTTTAGTCTTTCAGCTTAGTTCCTAGTTCCTGTTTCTTGTTTCGGCCCAGACTTGACCTAGTTTTAAAGTTTGGCCCCTTCATCAATATCATACTCAACGGGCAAAAACTGAAAGCTTTCCCACTAAAATCGGGAACACGCCAAGGACGTCCGCTCTCACCACTTCTTTTCAACATCGTATTGGAAGTCCTAGCCACAGCGGTCAGACAAGAGAAAGAGATAAAAGGCATCCAAATAGGAAAGGAGGAAGTAAAGCTATCATTGTTTGTAGATGACATGATAGTGTACATAGAGAACCCTGTAGACTCTACCAAAAAACTCCTCAACCTAATAAGTGAATTTGGCAAAACAGCATGATACAAAGTCAACATTCAGAAATCAAGGGCGTTTTTGTACACCAGCAATGCAATAGAAGAAGATTTCTGAGAAAAAATACCATTCAATATAGCAAGAAGAAAAATAAAGTACCTAGGCATAAATTTAACCAAAGACACAAAAGACCTGTATGCAGAAAACTATACAACATTGAAAAAAGAAATTAAGGAAGACACAAATAAATGGAAGCATATACCGTGCTCATGGATTGGAAGAATTAACATCATCAAAATGTCCATACTACCCAAAGCAATTTATAGATTCAACGCAATCCCTATTAAGATACCAATGATGTATTTCACAGAAATAGAACAGACATTTCAAAAATTTATATGGAACCATAAACGACCCCAAATAGCCGCAGCAATTTTGAGAAGGAAACACAAAGTAGGAGGGATCACAATACCGGACATCAAACTCTACTACAAAGCCACTATACTCAGAACAATCTGGTACTGGCACAAGAACAGACCCATAGACCAGGGGAACAGAATAGAAAGCCCAGAAATAAGCCCAGGTCTCTATGGACATCTAATATTTGACAAAGGCAGCAGAAGCATAAAATGGAGCAATAATAGCCTCTTCAACAAATGGTGTTGGGAGAGATGGACGGCTACATGCAAAAAATTGAAATTGGATCATCAGCTGACACCATACACAAAAATAAACTCAAGATGGATAAAAGACTTAAATATAAGTCGCAACACCTTCAAAGTCCTAGAGGAGAACATTGGCAGGAAACTCTCAAATATCCCACTCAGCAATTTTTTCACTGATATGTCTCCTAAAGCAAGGGACATAAAGGAAGGAATAAACAAGTGGGACCTCATCAAAATAAGAAGCTTCTGCAAGGCAAAAGAAACCATCAGCAAAATGAAAAGGGAGCCAACCGTATGGGAAAATATATTCGCTAATGATACCTCAGAGAGAGGTTTGATCTCCAAGATATATAAAGAACTCACTCGACTCCACTCCAAGAAGACAAACGATCCAATCAAAAAACGGGCAAAGGACCTGGGCAGATACTTTTCCAAGGAGGAGATACAGAGGGCCCAGAGGCATTTGAAAGGATGCTCAGCATCACTAGCCATCAGAGAAATGCAGATCAAAACCACCATGAGGTACCACCTCACACCAGTCAGAATGGCCACCATAAGCAGATCCACAAACAACAGGTGCTGGCGAGGCTGTGGAGAAAAGGGAACCCTAGTCCACTGTTGGTGGGAATGCAGACTGGTGCAGCCACTATGGAAAGCAGTGTGGAATTTCCTCAGAAAGCTGAAAATGGAACTGCCTTTTGACCCAGTGATTTCCCTGCTGGGACTATACCCTAAGAACACCAAAACGCCAATACAAAAGAACCTATGCACCCCAATGTTCATAGCAGCACAATTTACAATAGCCAAGTGTTGGAAGCAACCTAAATGTCCATCAGTAGATGATTGGATCAAAAAGTAATGGTACATATACACAATGGAATACTACGTAGCAGAAAGAAAGAACTACTAAGCTTCGCGACAGCATGGATGGAAATAGAGAGCATTATGCTAAGCGAAATAAGCCAGGGGGCGAAAGACAAATACCATATTATCTCACCTTTAAGTGGAACCTAACCAACAATACAAAGATGCAAGGAAAATATGACCAGCAACACTGAAAGGAAAAGAAACCAACAGAGATAAGAGGGAAGGAGGGAGAGGTGGGCAGGGGAAAAGGAAGGGAAGGGGAAAGTCAAGGAACATATAGGAAGGACTCACGGACAAAACCAAAGGGGAAGAGCTGAGGGAGGGAAGAAGGGAGGGGGCAAGGGAAAGTGGTGGAGGGGAGGCAGAGACAAATGTATTTAAAAAGTAAATAAGTAAATAAGTAAAAACAAGAAGATAAAGGTTGAGCCAAAGATTTTATATCCAACCAGGATCTTTCAATTATAAAAGCTACAGGCAAATATTTTTTTCCAAGAATTTCTTGAGGAATCTAATAGCGAATAAATGCAGCCTGCAAAAAATTGGTGGTTGAAAATTTAGCTAAAGCTATAACAAGAAGCCTCAATTATATTGAATGATAAAACCGAGTTCTAAAGGAAAATGTGTATAAGACTGACAAAATATAATATAAACATTTTTAATCAACAAAAAACGTCAAGAGGCTGAGAGGGAAAGTTGAGAACTTTCAGATTGTCTTATGCGTTACATCCAAGAGTCAGATGTTATAACATAAGTATACTTAGCTGTACAAAACTTAGTTGTACACTAGAAAAGAATAGTATACTTTAGATCAATTCTATCAATAAAAGAGAAGGATGGAAGAAGAGAAAAAAAATATACAATAATTTCAGTTATTTTTGCAGGGTAAAACTTCTATACATTATATATGTATATTCTACACAGAAATACAAAACTAAAGATATTTTATGGAGACACAATAGAAATATAATCTTTGGAACAATCACTGAAACTTTATAAATATTAGAGAAAGGGAGAAAACAACAGTGAAAGTACATTTAAAATCAAAAAGAAAAAACCTACAAATGGAGATAAACATATAATATGCTAAAAGTAAGATTAAACATTTTTTAAATCAAGAAATGCAAAAGATTATAACTGATGTATGAAAAGAAACAGGAAAAGATTTTAAATGTTACTACAAAGCAAAATACAAACTATGATGTATAGCAGGGTTTCACCCTAGACAATGTCACTTAAATGTTGAAAAATAAAGGTTGAGCAAAGTCATTTCAAATGCATGCTTTCAGCTGAAAATACAAGAAAGGCGGCAAAGACTCTAAAACATATGATTATCATAATAATAATTAAAATCTATATATTAAATACATGGAAGCAACTTCTGACAAGAAATACAGGAGATGGAAGAAAAAATTAAAAATAAATATGTGAAGCTTTAATAAATCTTTCTAATTAAAAACTAAAGTGTGAAAAATAAAGCAGAAGCTATATAACTTTAAAAATATAACCTATAATGACAGCTGATTAATTTACAATCGCTCTAATATTCAATAAATCAGGGAATCACCCAAGAGAGATCAAAGATATGTTTTCTTTGTGTCCCACCAGATTTTACACACACTTTATTCACCTCACTCTTTTTCCAATGTTTCCTTTAAATCTTAGGATTTTTAAATATAGACAACATCACTGAAGTTGAAAGGGCTATATAAGAAAATTGCATTTGGTTTTCATTACAGGTGCAGAGAAAAAACAGACATCTCAATTACCTCATACTTTTCATCCTGAACTTGACTTTTAATAAGTAACACCATTAATTATATTAATTTAAAAGAAATACTTTAAGATTAATATTTGGGAGGGCAGTATTAAGGGAATTTTTAAAAATTTTACTTTGACTTCAAATGTTACTTACTATCCACTCAGTTCAAATTGCCCTCACGTGCTGCTCTGATTACACGGCGTTCATTCAGTTTCAGATGAAGGGAAGCTGAAAGCCAGTTTAGGGCTTTTATACTCACACCCCCACCCCCGCCACCTACTCCCTTCACCCCATGTTGCTTTGACATACAGTC